CATTATTTAACTTCTAAAAATAAATAAAGTAGGCTACGTTCTGTATTTGAAAACTGCGCTATGCAAAGGAGTTGACTTATGCGTTGCTCTGATTGGTTGTAGGTCTACCGACTATCCAATTGAGTGCAGAGGTTGTTTTTTTTTCCTGGTTCGGTTATGACACGAGTTTCAGACTCATATTCTCTCTTGAATATGACGAAGTCAGGCTAAAAATGCCCTAGATATCGACTGAAAATTTTCATATTTTTTATAGTATATAAATGTTCGGAGTTGTATTTGTTTTAAAAAGAAAAAAAAAATATTATACCTGGAGGACATTAAGTTAAGTTACAAACTTAATTTAATATAGTGATAATACCGTATACCATGACAAAAGCTTCGGCAATTATCATGATATGAAAATTTGATACCATAAGATGTCTATCAACACCAGAGGATGATAAAAATAATTAACTGTGTGTGTGTGTGTGTGTGTGTGTGTGTGTGTTTTAGATAAAGAAATGAGGAACCAAAAAACTAAAGTGAGAATGCTAAAAATAGAAACCTGTGCAAAAAATTGAAACAACAGAGCAAAAATAATGCTAAAAAGAAAGTTATTTTAGACTAGCAAAAACTTGCAAAAAGAAATCAGAACAGTATTTTTTGAATTTAGGATCCCAGCAGCTCATTCCGTGTTGTAAACACCTGTGAGAGCAGCACACAGAAGCAGACCAGATCTAAACCTGTTTAAACACACTCACATGCCTTCACTTCATCAGCCAATTAAAGAGCAGACCTCCAACACCTATCACATGACTCCAAGGAATTCAACAAGCTACTGGACGAACTCAAAATCCCAATGTTATGAAAGTGCAGAAATATGCTTGGTCATAATATTAGAGCAGTCCATATTAAGCATGTGCACATATTCAAAAACGCTACAGTCCGGTTCTGTAATATATATTCCGTTCACACACATGGACAACCACAAACACCCTCTATTTTGTCTGAAAAAGCCCACTATAAACTGAAGACAATCCAAACTGAAGAGTGGAGGAACTGAAAAATACTTTTACAATATTACAGGACTTTAAGAGCACATCTTTCTTCAAACATAAATTAACCAAAGGCCATTAGTTAATAGTAATTTAACTTAGATACTGCATCATGACATGCATTTAACTCTCTCTCTCTCTCTCTCTCTCTCTCTCTCTCTCTCTCTCTCTCTCTGTGTGTGTGTGTAAACAGGCGGCAAGCTGGTCTTGTGATTCCATGGCAAGCCTTTTTCTGTTGTTCACACTATGTGCCCTAAGGTCCAAAGCCAATCATATAGCCCTTCACAAAAAGATTATAATGTTACATACAAAACTAAATCAAAAATATTAAAGGAGTAAAAGGAATCATGATTAATGAATTCTCAGCAGGGGAGTCACTAAAATGCAGCTGGCGCAGGACAAAATTATTGGCAAAGAAAAAAATGCAATAACTAATTAATTAAGTTACTCCATATAAATGATATGCTTAATTTTTTTTTAACAAACTTTGTATTTATTATCATCATCAGCATCTGTATTTTTTTTTATCCAATAATAAAAACAGACAATATCATGGCTTAATTTAAAAATGTATTGTTTTTTATTGAATATTGCAGCGTGAATTTTATTTTACTTTTTGAAATTCATGTGCCCTTGTGATCTTTAATTAAAAAAACGTTCTCTTGCTCTACATATCTTCTCTTCTCTGATGGCACTCACATCAGATTACAGCAATAGCAAACCACATCCATCCATCAATTCCCAATGGACAAAAATCAAGTCACGCCCAACATTTTTTCTTGTTCGCGAAGCCGATTCACTTGGATATAAGTAACCGGCATTAGAAAAGACAACTACTACTTTAATACCACATTTAATTTCATAACTTTAAAATTACTCATCTTTTCTGCTTACATTAAAAATATTATTAAACAGCTATTCATATCCTATCCAATTAGCCTGTAAGTTATGCATCAGAGACATGTTTAAAGTTTAAACAGACATTACAATACAGATTTAAAATATCAGCAATCATATTGTCGATAAGTCACAGCATCACTGTCTTAAGGCAAAACTGTAACTTACCTACTCTATTTAGTGACCATAAGAAAATTAAGTAAAATATACGAATAAACCATTATTAAAAAACCCACATAAGTTATTCTGAAATGTAAGGGAATGTAAGGGTCAGACATGAGAACTAAGATTTCATTAAGCATCCCTAAGCAGAACTAAAAAGAGGAAGGACACAAGTCTTCAATCCGATCAGTTCCTAAACACAACACAACACAACATCTTCCCCAATATCAGGATAAAGAATGGAGAGGAAAAAAATGAAAGGATATGTATATTACATCAGACAGACATTGAACTTGTGGACTAATATGGAAAATGAAATTCAATTTGAAACTTACAGGCTCCCCTACAGCCTAAATATCCAGGACAAATTTCAAAGTGGTTGTTATAATCACTCATAGGCATGTCCCCGACGCTTTACGATAGAAAACATGTAAAAGTTGGATTTATTGATGGAGCTCTAAAGGCCTACAGGACTGGCAGCTCCACACTTCCGATATGAATGGTTGTATAACTTCTCAGACTTTTGTTGTCCCAGCATTTAGCTTTGACAAACACTCCGACTGTCGTTAACGAGAGTTTCAATGCAGTAAAGGGAATTAAGCTCACCTATTTACCTGCAACGCTTCACGCGGGTCTGCCCATTCTGCCCAGTGCAGTCTGCATGTAAACACTCTAGCGCGAGTCTAGGCGGATGTGCCGCAGAACAGCTGATCAAGCACGTGACCAGACGGGAAGTCTCAAGCCTGTGAGCGACTTCAGATGTCACAGGTTAGAAATGTGCGCGATAATTTATCGTTTTTTTATGGAAAGTCAGAAAATTAAATTAATTTTCCTAAATTAATTTGATTAATCTTTGCTAAAAAAAAATTCGTAACACAAATTAACCATCTCATTTGATTTTCACATAACACACCTGTCCTCCGTGACTCGTCAGACCATAACTCAATTCTTAATATAACTTAAACTTAAGGACAAAAGAAGATACATCTTATATATATATATATATATATATATATATATATATATATATATATGTCACTATATTATAAATCACTATATTATACATAGTGACAGAAGGGAGATTTAAAAAAAAAAATTCTTTAGAATATTCCTCTAATTTTTAAACATAAGGTTAAACTGAAAACACTGAAACACTGAAAGATATGAAATCAAAGTTAGTGGGATTTTTTAAATATTTTCCTTTATTTTAAGTGGATCATGTTAGTATCTAGCTAAATAAAGTGCGTCTTGAATTTAATACAAGTGTGAAATGAAAAATAAAAAAGCCAATACTCTCATATTGTTTTGATTGTGGTGACAGTTCAATCGATGGAGTTTAAATTCAGTATATCCTGTATTCTCAATTAATTCCCGGTGAATGCCAGATTTGTCATTATTAATATTGAATATTTGACACATTTCTTTAGTTGCAGATAGTTTTGACCCCATAGCTATAGAGTGATATGTGTGAGGAATGAGAAAATGGAAGCAGCAGGTGGTGAAAGTGTCTGAATAATTAAAAAGAAAAACTCAATTTAAGATGGTAAGAAAATGCTGAAGGCAACAGCATTGTCAGTTCTGATGCTAATTAGTGTAAAAAAGAAGTTATAATCGAGAACACCATCACAGTAAACATCCATATAAAGCCCATTTTCATTCTGGATCTTGAATAAAATGGCTTCAAACATGAACAATAACACTACAGATTTATTGTAATAGAGAGAGAATTATTCACTGTAATTCAAAGTGCTGTTTCTATTGTGTTTTGTTGACAATAATACAGTAATGTGCTGTTTGCTTCTAAACATATAATACATCATGGTTTCAGGGCCTCTGGCAACTATCTTGTAAAAGACAACACTGCCTGGCTAAATATGCCACCATTAACACTGATTCACGTTGCCTGCCTGCAAACATACAGCTGAGGATTTGAGCAAACAAGCCAATAAATAATGATACTATAAAATTGCAAATCTTATTCATTTAGGGGTGTAAATATTTTTCTAAAAACAATTCATTTGCAATTCTTACCTTAATTAAGTGATACATTATGAAAATGGTGTCTCAATTTGACTTGAATATTATTATCACCCAACATCGCATCAGAGTTATTTTTACAACACATTCTCATCCCAAAAAGTCATATAACTGACTTTTTGGGACGTCTTTTGACCATACGTCAATATTCGCCTTTTTAGGGCCCCCTTAAACGTCGTCATACAACTGACGCTTTACCTTTAACGTCAGTTAGGTGACGGGTTAGGTTTAGGGTTAGGTTTAGGTCTGGGGTAGAGTTAGGATCCCATAACCTCATCTACCGACGTTTAAGGGGGCCCTAAAAAGGTGAATATTGACGTATGGTCAAAAGACGTCCCAAAACGTCAGCTATATGACTTTTTGGGGTGAGACTGCGCTGGTTTTTACACCCCATAATATTCAAAGAACATTTATTTAGAAATAAGAACAGTGATATTTCATTTCTTCTGTCCTTGGCACGTCCATTGTGAAATCCTCAAAATTCCAAATCTATGGTCCATCCAAAGATTGAGGTTTTAGCAAAACACCTTGTGCATAAAGGCACAACTGTAAATATGCTACATTAAAAGTTTTATATTACCTGGTATTCATTGCTGTTTGTTTGTTTAAATGGGATTTATTACACCACCGTTCAAAGGTTTAGGGTCAGTAGGTATTTTGTGAAATATTATTACAATTTAAAATAAGTGTTTTTTTTAAATATATTTTAAATGTAATTTATTCCTTTAGCTTCAATACTCCAGTCTTCAGAAATCATTATAACATGCTCATTTGGTGCTCAAGAAAAAATGTCTAATTATCAATGCTGAAAACAGATTTTTCCCCCCATTTTGCCACATTATACATTTCTTTAGTGTCACTTTTGAGCTATTTAATGTGTTCTTGCTGAATAAAAGTATTAATTTTATTCAAACAAAATGACCCCAAACTTTTGAACTGTAGTGTATGTATTTTTAGGAGTTTATGAATTGGCAGTAGGCGGGGCTATCATCATGCTCCTCCTTACATGGAAGCTCCTCCTCTTCTTTAATAGTAATGATAAAACGAGTTTGTGTAGATGCATTCTGTTCCACCGCATCAATGTCTTGTTTCCCTGTCATCATGTTAGCGGTTGTCTTCTCATCTTTTTCCATTGCTTCCCTGCATTCATCCTCTGCCTCCATGTAATCGTCTTCACTTTCCCCAATCACTCTTTCTCTGCTGTTGTCCTGTTCTTCCTGTCTGAGCCAGTTGTGACCATTGAAAAAGCTGAGAACAGCCTCTTTGGCTACACCCAGTTGAGCAGATAGTGTATGAATGGCCTCTTGATCTGGATGTAGTCCCACTTCCTGAATGAAACTCTGCAAGATTGCATGGGCCTCTGGTGGTAGAGACCTGCTGCCTAGATTTGGGCCCATGTGAGAGTCTCTAGGACCTCCAGTGATAAGATGGTGCTGGAGGAAGGGTTGATGGTGCGGAGGTGGAATTGCATGTAGTTGTTTGTGCTGCTTTAGCGTCACCACATGCTGTGGTATCACCTTTATAAAATAAATATAAATAAGGTAAATAATTATGAGAGCGAACACTTCACAAACCAACATTTTTTTTTTACAAAATGTGGCTAATTTGATATATTATGGCTTATATAGATGAAAATAAACTATAAATGTACAGTCAGCAGTTGGATATTCATAATGTACTGTAATTGTTTGTGTGTGAGCTCTTACTTTCAATTGTTCAGTCAGTGGTCTTGTGTGTTTTTCTGAGTAGAATGTCTGCCCAGTATTGCTCTCTTGGTCATAAATAACATCTCGCTCTGATTGGTTGAGGTTTAGAAACTGGCGTATCAAAGACAGATTTTCCCAGAGTGTACGATTCTGAGGAGAAGGCTCCTCCTTCCAGCGCAGGAGCTCACACAGCCAACCCTAACACAGAAACAAAAACAGTGGGGTTCAAACATCTCCGACAATGTTGAAAATCTGATTCAAAGTCTAATTTAATCCTGGTGATTAATGTAATGTTTTAGGATTTTTTGCGATTTAAAATGAGGAAATATTTTGATGTAAAATGTGCTTTCTGTGGCATAAATATTTAAAGATATAATAAATATTTATATGTAGGAGATAAATATTTAATTTTCAAGAAATATTTTTTAAGTTCTGCAGTATTTCTAGGTCAGTAGACAAATAAGCAAATTTGTGACGTTAACCATATGAATGCCTTTGTTCAAAACGTGAGATTTTCAAGTTATCTCACAAATTTTTATGCTGATAATTTAATTTGCAATAAGGGGAAATGTAAAAGGACCCGACTGTACATTTTCTTTCTTAACTTGGGAGGGACTCATTATTTTTATTACATTCAAGGTATATAATAGTGGCCAAAAGTGATGTCTGGCCTAGAAAAAAAAACATATTCACCCTTTATTCAAATATTATAAAAATTGTATTAAAGATTCTGTAAGCAAATTCTACAAAGAATCCATCATACAAAGAAATTATGAACACCTGCAAACACAAGAGGGAACCAATTAATTATTAATAACTTATGTTGTTGTCAATTTATGCTTTTTCCCTTGAGCTTTTTATTTTTCTATGCATTTTTTGCAAAGGAAAATAAAACTTGTAGCTTTGCCATTTTCGCAAAATAATTTTGTCAGATAAATACCTTGACCAAGTGTTTTGATCTTCCCTCATATGTAAAATATTTTTAAAAATCTAAAATATTCAAACTTTTAAGGTCATCAAAAACAAATAACATCACAAAACATCACTTTTGGCCACTACAGTATAAATACAAGTCCTTGCTTTCATATAAATATTTATTATACATTTAAATATATTTCAAACATATCTACCTTGAATGCAATGCAAGTCGCTTTGGATAAAAGCATCTGTCAAAATGTATAAATGTACTATCTTGTCTCCTGTTTATTAGTATATTAGATTCATTTAGTACACATGCACACACATGTACCTGACTCTTGGCTGCAGAGACTTTTGCAAACAATGCCTGTGACACTTTGGCTCGTCTCATTTCCTGCTGTATTTCATCATAGATGCCGTAGTTGATTCCAGAATCATCGCATTCCACTTTCACTACAATCTCCTTGGAAACAGGTGAAAGTTTTGCCTGTAATGAGAGATTTGTTTTATAGACTGAGAAGTGGCACTTATTATTATTATTAATAAGTTTTATTTGCATAAGATTTATCTGCACTGTCTATTGAGATTATAGCACATGCTAATTTACATTTTTGGTCCATAATTCCATTTAAATGACAGTGAACCTGAATGGGCAGAGGTGAGCTGGTGTTGTAGGTGGTGTTGAGGTTACGCTCTCTTTCCTCCAGATAGATGGAGTCCCTCTGGCTCTGTGGCAGTTGCAGGAAGGCCTGCATGGCTCTAAGGTTAACTAAAAGAGACTGAGACGCGCACCGTGGGTCTTCTTCCTTGCGCAAGATCTCCGACAGCAGGCCCTATTGCAAAATACAATTTACATTTAATATTTAGCAGATGCTTTTATCCAAAACGACTCACATATGAAGACAACAAAAACAATCAAACCAAAAATAGGGTAACAATATTCAAGTGCTGTGACAGTTAGTCTAACACAGTACACATAGCAAGGTTTGTTTTTTTTACATGGACATACACTTTATTATGTGTATATATGTTAGAAACCAAGGGGGAAATAAGAGTTAAGGCCCATTTACACCAAGGACAATACCTAAAAGTGCTCCTTTTTAATTTGACTTGAGTAAAACTACAAAAGTACTTGATTGTTTAATGTACTTAAAAGTAAAAGTAAAACGTACTGATTGATAAACCATGTTTATCATTTAGCCAGCACTAGTCAGACTCATTAGTCAACACTACCGGTAATTAAAAGGATTAAGCAGACTAAATAATATGGTATATAATATTTATCTGCAAATAAGCTAACTTTTTATTTTATCACCAACACTATAAAAACATTAAACTTCAATATAATAAAATATCAATTTAACTTACTGATAATTGAAGTGTGCAAACAAGTGAAATAATAGTATTTTAAAAATAAGGAAAAACAAAGTTTGTGTAAATGTGACATACAAATATACACGTTTTATATCATTTGTAACTGCTACGACTGCGAGGAAGATGCATTAATTGAAGGGTTAGTTCACCCAAAAATCAAAATTCTGTCAGTATTTACTCACCCTTATGTTGTTCCAACCCCGTAAGACTTTCGTTCATCTTCAGAACACGAATTAAGATATTTTTGATTAAATCTGAGAGCTGGATCACTCCTGCATACTAGTCCATAGGCTTCTTGAGGAATTGCTGGCCTCGAAAAGTTATTAAAGACATCGTTAAAATAGTCCAAGTGACTACAGTGGTTCAAACTTAAGTTTATCAAACGACGAGAACACTTTTTGTGTGCAAGAAACAACAAAATAATGACTTTATTTCAACTATTCATTTACTTCTCTCTCTGCCTCGAGTCAGGTTACTAGTTTAATAGCGTAAGCTTCTGTTGTTGTACGTCACACGCATCACACACATGACCAGCGTCGGCCAATTGTGAGCCTACGTGTGATGTATCTTTACGCTATCACACTACGTTAACTGACTAGAGGCCCATAGAGAAGGAAGTGAATAGTTGAAATAAAGTTGTTATTTTTGTTTGTTTTTGCACACAAAAAGTATTCTCGTTGCTTGATAAAGTTAAGATTGAGCCACTGAAGTCACTTGGACTATTTTAACTAGAGCCCGACAGATAAAGGATTTTGAAGGCCGATACCGATACAAATATTTTTGGGTTTTAAAATCCGATATATCGGCCGATATTTTTTTTTTAATTAAATATTGCTGGATTTCACACACGTCACGTGTAAAAGAAAAGCTAACTTTTCTGCACAAGATACGTTTGATACTTTTTCTCTATGTCTAAATGTTCACTCCACGCAAGTATAACTTACATTTTACAATGCAGGGACTGTAACTAGATATATGCTAGTTATAAATACAGTAATCATTACTTTATTTAGGCAGAAAAAGTTCATTGTGGTTTCCAAGCTCATTAATGTTAACGTTAGCGGTCTTCCACTGATGATAGTAGCATTAGCTAGCTTTGTGGTTAGCTAGTCTATGATGAGCCTTAATTTAGCAATAGATAACATCATACTGCAAATTGTAAAACATACATTTTCAATATAACAGGCCAAAGAGAGATGATTGAAGCGTGTTTCGTCCATTTTTATTTCATTTTTTATTTCATTTTTTTTACAAATATTCATTTATCGGCCATTATAACTGCCGATTCCGATATTATGGAAAATGCCTAATATCGGCCGATAATATATCGGTCTGGCTCTAATTTTAATGATGTCTTTAATAACTTTGAGGCTGGCAAGTTTCAATTCCTCAAGAAGCCTATGGACTAGTATGGAGGAGTGATCCAGCTCTCAGATTTCATCAAAAATATCTTAATTTGTATTCCGAAGATGAACGAAGGTCTTACGGGGTTGGAACAACATGAGGGTGAGTAAATACTGACAGAATTTAGATTTTTGGGTGAACCAACCCTTTAATAGGCTTTTTTAGGGAAAACAACACCTACCCCATACAGACCAGTCAGTCAGTTGGCTTCAAAAGCTGGCCCTTTTACAGCGGATGTACTTCACAAATAATTTATGTAATTTCTTTTACAATAATTATTATTCAGTACTAAAATTCAGCGTCAGTAACCTACTTTCTGCACCATCATGCTGGCAATATCCTGGTTCTTGGCTCGTTTTGTGAACAGCTATTCGCGATTGAACATCTATTCAGTGTGATTTGTCAACCAAAAAACCAACAGATTATTTGAAAACAATAAGCTTGTTCACAAATCAGACACGTTTCTTGCATCTTAGGGGTGACGATTTCTTCAGCTCAAAATAATGAGAAACAATGTTTTTATGAAATGTAGCTTTAGAATGTAGTGCAGTAGAAATACACACACACACACACACACACATATATATATAAACTCAGATAAAGTACAGATACTTAAGTACAGTAACAAAGTAAAAAAAAATACTTAGTTACTGTCCATCACTGAGCGCATGCTTATAATAAACAGAATGATATTGTGCATTGGTGTGAACGCTAATATATTTATTGTCATAGTTATCTTTGTAGTCATCGTTCTTGGTGTAAATGAAACTTTACAACCTTACAACACAGCACATTTACGCATTTGACTGACACTTTTATCCAAAGCAATTTCCATTGCATTCATAGTATGGTGTACATTTCATACATATTTAAATGTAATAAATATTTATAAGAATTTACGGAATGTAAGGACTAATATAAATGGATATAACTTGAATGCATATGATTTTTTTTTACCTGAGTCCTGTTAATGGCCACTCGTGCAAACACTGCTTGGGAAACCCCTGCTCTCTTCAACTCCTCACGCACCCAATGATAAATTTCAGGTGACACGTCGGTGACAGGTGAGGGACATTGGGTCACAGTAGGTGGGGACACATTGCATTTTGGAGGAGTCTGTAGCGGCGCAGGATGAGGCCCGTGTGTGTGAGGGTGAGTAAGAAATTGAGACATGGCATGCTGCTGTGAGAGGAGCTGAGCCATCACCAGACCAGGCATTCCAGCCTGCATCTGAACAACACCGCGTGACTCCGCCCCACTGCCTTCGATTGGTTGCTGGTACATAGTGGGCTGGCTGGAAGATGAGGGTTGGTTGCAGTGCCTGTTCACGTCACCTGAGTAGAAGTAAAAATCTTCAGTGACTCAATAGTCATTTTAAATCACTGGGGCCTATTTAAAATTCAGTCTGCCAAATCATATATGTAGGTATTATAATTCCCTTATATAATTCACAAAATTACTGCAACTCAGATAAATGCAGCATCAGTGATAAAAAGAGACTTTTTATCACTGATTCTTTTATTATTACTACTGATATTATTATTTCTTTCAAATAATAATAATAATAATCACACTGACCCCAAACCTTTGAACGGTTGTGAGTTTATGAACAACATTTTGTAATACCTACTGCATAAGCTAATGTTAACGAATTAAACCTTACTATAAATTAGATATAAATATATAATATAAACTTGTTAGAAAACTACTAGCTGTTAGAATGTGAATTTATGAGCTATGTTTAGAAAACATACAGAAAGTTGCTACTCACCCATCATAGATTTTGCCCTCTTGTAGTGTTTGTACCACTGGCCGAATTCCTGACATCTCGCAGCAGAAATACTGGCGTAGTAAGTGCCGTTTACCACAGATGAAATCATGCTCTTTCAAACAAAAAAACAAGACAAGTCAATATGTGCTCATATGCATGAACCAAAAATGACAGGAACAGAAATTTAGTAATTGGATATACAGGATTAGGCCTTGAAGTGTGCCTTGGAACTGAACTAAATGTGTCCAGAAAGGATGTGCTGAAGGTTTTTTTCTCCTTGCTAAATAGATTTAATAGCTGGTTCTCAAACTAGGGATGGATCTTAATGGTAGGGTGTATTCTTCAATGCGCTTCTTTCATCATAGTTCTGCTCTTTAACCATGAGATATGAAGCAATTAACCCTGTCTTATTCTATAGCTACATGCAATTAACTGTGTTCAAGTTAGTATGCATGTTATATGGCTGGTGTACAGCTAAATATTTACTGTGTCTAATTGCGCACCACTTTTGTTGTGAACGTGTACCTGAGATAATGGACACTCTTTAGCCAGTGTGCTCTGATTCATCTCTTTCAGCAGCTCCTTCAGTGCATTTCTGACAGTAGAATGAGTCCACTGCTCAGCAGGTAAGTCCTCTAATTTAGAAACACTAAAAGAGAGAGAGAGAGAAAGAGCGTGTGCGTGAGTCAGTGAGAAAAAAAAACAGTGTACTGCAATAATTAATTACACTGTGGGACATTAATCACAAATAATTATTATTTCACAAATAGCTATATTATTATGTGTTTATCCTCAAAACTTTAATAACTATAATAACTTTTAATAATTTTGAAATTAGTTTTAATACTAAAATACACGTGAAAAATGAGTCATCATAAATTAGAGCAGCTTTAATTCTGTAAAGTAGTTCATCATTCTGATAGGCCTGTTTGCTAAAGCCCAGAGAGAAACGTGACACTCAAAGTAAGTGTGTTTGAACGTTGTACCTGTGTAGTTTTATTCTTAAGGTGATGACATGGTAAAGGTCTTGTAGCATGTCTCCTACTGTTGCTTCAGAGGTGTCTGTCACAGTGGACAGAGCCACAGGGTTCCAATGGCCAACTTGAACCTGACCTAAAGCAGACATTAATGTTATTACAATATATGACTACTTATGTGATCCTAATATAGTTACTGACCCCCTAGTTCTGGATTTTGGAGTTGTTGTTGTGTTAACAACATACCATATATGTTATATTAAGAGATTTGACCATCTAAATATTTTTGCAATATTGATGTGTATTTTTTATTGTGTAATTTAATTGTACATCCTTTTTAATGTCTAAATTCTATTACAAGTAAGCTGCTGTTCAGAGGTTTTGGGGTCAGTCATATATATATATATATATATTTAACATTTTTAATCAGTAAGGATGCATTAAATTGATGAAAAGAGATAGTTAAGACTTGTGTCTTGTTACAGAAGTTTTTTTGTTTTTTTTTTGTTTGTTTTTTTTTTTACAAAAGGCTGGTCTTTTTAACTTTTTTTATTCGTCACAGAATCGTGGGAAAATGTACCACGGTTTTCACAAAAATAACATCACAACTGTTTTCAACATTGATAAATGTTAATATTAAGAAATGTTTTTTGAGCACCAAATCAGCATATTAAAATTCAGCTTTGCCATCAAAGGGCTAAATTATATTTTTAAAATATATTAAAATAGAATTTTAAAAAAATGTAAAAATAATTCACAATATTACTGTTTTTAATGTGTTTGGAATTCAATGTGCATTGGTGGCATAAGAGACTTCTTTCCAAAACGTACAAAAGTCTTTGAATGGTAGTTAATGTGTAATGCACATAATGGAATATCATATGACGCAGGTATTTCTTTAGTCCCACTCCACTCCATCCCTTTTCTTCAGCCTTACATATTCAACTTGAATTGAGCGTAAATTATTCATCTGTGTGTGTGTGTACCTGTAGCCAGAGCCGCTGCGGTGTGTGTGTATCCCAGCTCTTGCAGTGCAGCTTCAGTAATCTGGCTGAACAGCAGGTCTTTCTTTAACAGCACAAATTCTGCATGCTCCGTCCTCTTCCTCTCTGAGGGTGGGACATCACTCTGCTCCACCATACAGAACACTGGAAGCAGACTGCCTGTGTGTACAGAAAGGAAGAATTATGACCACACAGACATCTTATGAGCAGACATTGCCCTGTATCTGTGTGTATGTCTGTGAATGGATACCTTTCCTGTGAGATGATGTTGTTTGTTTGGAGGCCAGGCTCACAGATGTGACTCCGGGTACAGGTAGATCTCTTGGATTCTCCATACGGGACATTTTACAGGGAGGATAAGAGGTTTCACACAGGACCGGCCCCTGGGTATTACTAGTGGTAGCCAAATGTTCCATCTTTTTTTTTTTTTTAACTCAGCTCTCGCAACTATATAGAAAACAATAATGAGGAGAGAGATATGATTTGAAGCTACTGTATCTTTAAGAATACATTTATATTACATACATTATACATTTTTTTTGTCCCAGTCCACTCCATCCCCATCCTTCAGACTTACATATTCAACTTGAAATGAGCTTAATTTATTCATTAGTGTTGTGTGTGTGTGCGCGTGTCTCTTTCTATAGATAATACATACACTGCGGAACAAAACCATTTTAAGCAAGGATATGTGCCTATTAAACCACCCGGACCTGACTCGGAGACCCTGAGGATGGTCTGTTTACTGGTTCTTCTAGACAAGAATTGGGTACTTTTTTGGTAGGTCAGGCTGGGAGACCATCAGCGTGCCCAGCTCGATATTAAACCAACTACGACCAGCAAACCATCTCAGGCTGGTTTTGGATGTTTTTGTTTAACGTTAGCCGTGAAGCGCTGCTACAGGTGCAGCATTACATGCCCAACCTGTGACACATTATGGTCTCGTCTTTTTTCTTCCTCTGCCATATTATTTAAGTCACTTATTTTACTTACTGCAGTACTGTTTTCCTGAGGTTTACAATCCTCCAGACGGGTATCCGAACATGCCGACAGATCGAGCGCGCGTCCCGAGGATCGCTCACTAACAAAAACACTGGCTCCAGAATCAACGCGCTGGTCCGGGGACAAGAGATGAGATTCTTGAACGGATTTATTTTATGAAGGAAGGTTTTTGTTCTTGGTAAAACGGGAAAATCACACACATTGAAATAAAAAAAGAGGGTTACAACGAGGAAAAACTGCTCGTATAATATAATGTACAAACACAGATCCGTAATTAAATCTCTAGGCGGCCCCACAAAGCATTACCAATATGATGTCACCAAGTACGGACCAATCAGCTTCTAGCGGAAGTGCCTTCTCACAGAATACATGACTATTTAAGTGTGGCAAGCCAAGTTAACATTTAATATTTTATATCCTAAGTTTTATTATTTATAGAGTTTGGTCTGATCAAAACTCTTATTTTCAGATATGTGATCTACAAATTTATCTAGTCATACATTTCCGTTGGCTTACATCATAAAGAAGTCAAGAGTGCTGTCAAAAATGCAGATGACAGCACGTGATATTCTATTCGGAGCTGGGAATTGAATGTAAGAGATGAATGTAACTTTTATAGAAGAATTGGAAATTGAATTTATGTTTTGACTTTAGATTCCAATACATTTAAGTCTGAGTAATATTAACTACATAGTGATAAGGTTAGGGTCTGGTGCAGAAATTGCATGAAACCATACTTGATTTTTTTTTTTTTTTTTTTTTTTTGTACATGTAACGTGTAAAGACACTGTAAAATAAAATTCTATATATTTAGATATTAAAAATAAAAAAAATTAATATATTTTTGTATTAATATATTTACATATTTACATTATGTATAATTAATGTATTAATATATTATTATATTGTATTAGCTATTATATATTATTAATATATATAAAAATGAAGTTCTTTTGGACTTTTTGAACCTTAAGAATACTGAAAAAATAGGCATATCAAAATATTAAGCAGCACAACTGTTTTCAACATTGATAATATTAAGAAATTTTTCTTGAACACCAAATCAGCGAGGTAGAATGATTTCTGAAGGATCATGTGACTTGAGTTCAGTTTTGCAATCAGTTTTGCAATCAAAAACAGCTGTAATAATATTTAATACTAATAATAGTATTATTTCTGTTTTTTATGAAATAAATGCAGCCTTGGTGGGCATAAGAGATAACACTTTACTTGAAGGGGTGTACATAATACTAACATGACACCTTCATAATCATGACATGACATATGTTATGAATATGAAGGAAGTTTTATGCATGTTTGTGACAAATGTCATTAAGTGTCATTCGCTTAGTTATGACATTTTTAATGCAAATATGACATTGTTTGAGATGTCTTTGTTATGACACCTTGACATTACTAAGACAACACAACCTCTCATAAACATGACATAGCAGATTAATTATCAAACTTAAGACTCAACCTAGCTTTATTGGTTAACATTACATTAAACTCAGGTGGTTAGTTTTGACATTTGGCTGTGATGAAGCCATTATAACTTTTTAATGACAAATTCAATTTGTACTACTGTAGTTGAGGTCACGAAAATTATTCATGACACAGTTATAAATGCCTCATGACAGCCAATATCAAAGCCAACCACATGACAGTTTAACTTAATTTTATGTCAAGTTGTCATGACAAAGACACAGGTTATGATGTATTGGTTTATGTCAAGATGTCATAACAAAGACATCTTAAACAATGTCATATTTGCATTCAAAATGTCATAGACAGTTGTCACAAATATGCATAAACCTTACTTATAACCTTATTTATAACCTTACTTATAACCTTATATCTATTAACATTCTTAAAGTGCCAATCTATGTTAAACTGTTAATCAGCCTCATCAAGTGATCTCTGTGATTAATGCTTGTTTGCACGTGTCTGTACACATGACAGTCACTGTATGAGGCAATCATTCTTTTCCTTAAACTTAATCATAATGAACAGAGCTTCATTTGTGTCTTTATTTGCATGAGTCTGCATACAACCATGAAATACATTCAGTACATGATTATATCAAATCAACACTTTTATTTTCATATAAAAACATGATTTACAAGGGCCTTTTCCATAACTGTGTTAAGCATGCATCAATACACACGAAACATGCAGATTTATGATTGGATTATAAAATTTGTAATTTGTCAAGTCAGCTCCAGTGGCTAAAGATTACACCACAGAAGTAATGATGATAATATTACCATAATGATATAAGAAAATTCTTCATAAATCATATCATGTCGTCAACGTCAGATCATTTTACTGTAAATTGTTTTTGTTTCCAGCACTGCCTCTTCACTGGTATCAATTGGCTTTATGCACAGCTGTACTACTTCCTGAACTTCAGCCAGCTTCTTGTTTCCTGTCTGCCATTATTGGACAAACTTTATTAATTCAGATGTGCCTGATTATTGTGGTTGTGACTACTGAGGTCAGACACTCCTGGATCAATCAGTTTGTCCAATAATGGAAGACAGGAAACGAGGAGCTGGCTGAATTTCAGGAAGTAGTACAGCTGTGAATAAAGCCAATTGTAAAAGGCACAAATGGGGTATTGTGACCATATGAACTGTAGAGGGCGGCATAGCCTGCTGTGTGTAATAGGCTACTTATAACAAAGAATCGTCATCTTCAATCCTTTTGACCATGCAAAGAAAATGATAATCTCTCATTTTTTCATTTTTCTCAACTGTTTTGAGTGTTGTTATATTTATAGTAACCCACTGTTTAATACAGTAGGCCTAATATCCAAGTGTATATGGCAAGACACCCTGGGTGATTAGGTAAAAAAGAATTACTAAAATATATCACCATACTTATCCAATTGATTGATTACATTAAGAGTGACAAGTTTTCTGAAATGGTATGTTTAAGTATGCAAATGAGGCATTATCTAGGCTAATTAGATATAAACTAATGTGTATACATTTCTAGAACAGAAATATTGGATAAAGCTATAGGTTCAAAATTGTTTTCATTTTTTTATGGCCAAAGAGTCAAATGTTTTCCAGAGGGGATTTTTGGATATCTCTCTTTATCAGTCCATAAATTGGAAAATATTGTAAACAGCCAGAAAGAAAAAAAAAAACTCCTCTAAAAACCTAAAAATGTATACAACTTAAAATTTTGGTGTATGTGCTGCTGAAGTGGGAGCTTCTGACAAGATAAAAAGCTAATTTTGAGAAAAAGGCCTTTAACACTGTAATTGAAGTCTACAGATGCAAATATATAAAGTGTGTGTGTTTGTATGTTTTCTTTCCACTAGTCTGAAAAAAATCCCTTTATGAAAAGCTAAAATTCCCAAAATCTCAAAATTGACAGATCCATGAAAAAACATGTTTCTGCCTGTGTCTCACCTTTAATGGGTTGCGCCAACGGAAATCGCCAATTGAAATAAATAATTTCCAACTCTTTGGTTCAAAATGGTGCCTGCATTGACAGTTTTTTCCTCCTTTGAATAGGCAAATCATGTTGTACACAAAATACAATAATACAGGGCACTCTCAGAAAAAAAAAAGGTACAAAAGCTGTCACTGGGGCTGTACCTTTTCAAAAGGTAAACTTTTGTCCATTTCAGGTGCTAATATGTACATTTCAGGTGCTAATATGTACATTTCAGGTGCTAATATGTACATTTTAGGTGCTAATATGTACATTTTAAGTGTTAATATGTACATTTTAGGTGCTAACATGTAAATTTTAGGTGTTAATATGTACATTTTAAGTGCTAATAAGTACATTTTAGGTGCTATTTAGGTGTTAATATGTACATTTATGTGTTAATAAGTAGACTACATTTTAGGTGTTAATATGTACATTTTACCTGCTAATATGTACATTTCAGGAGCTAATATGTCCATTTTAGGCCCTAATGTGTACATTTTAGGTGCTAAAATGTACATTTTAGGTGCTAATATGTAATTTTTAAGAGGCGAATATCCATTTTAGGTACTAATATGTACATTTTAGGTGCTAATATGTACCAATAAGGTACCAATATGCAGCCTTTGGGTACAAAAGTGTACCTTTTGAAAAGGTACAGCCCAAATGACAGCTTTTGTACCTTTTTTTCTGAAAGTGTAACATGCAAGATGCCCCATTTAAGAACAATGTGGATTTACTTTTAAACTGTAACATAGATATTTAGCATGTGCAGGATGATGATGTGTCAAGAAATAGTTACATTTTCTAATTATTTGTTATAGGAAAAGTGCTATATTCAATGAGGAGTAAGATGACCATGAGAATTAGAATTGTTGCTCTCCACAAAGTTAATAGGTTATAAGAAGATTGGTAACACTATGAAATTGAGTTACAGTACAGGCCAGGGTCATACAGAGGTTTTCCAAGATGGGTTCCACTTGGAACAGGCCTCGCAAGGGTCAGTCAAATAAGTTGAGTCCTCATGCTGTGCGTCAGGTTCAGAAGCTGACTTCAAAAAACAGACGCATGAGTGCTGACAGCATTGCTTTAGAGGTTGCAGAAGCGGAAGGTCAGACCATACACTGCACAGCATGTCTTTTTGCATGGCCGTCGTCCCAGAAGGAGGCGTCTTCTGGAGCTGGCTCACAAGAAAGCCCGCAAACAGTTTGCTAAAAGCAACCTGTCCAAGAGCATGAATTACTGGAACCATGTCCTGTGGCCTGATGAGACTTGTTTGGCTCAGATGGTGTATAACGGTAAAGAGTATCAAGAAAATTGTGTCGTGGCTACAGTCAAGCATGGTAATAGCGTATAAGTGCTTCTGGTACTGGGGAGCTGAGCTTCATTGAGGGAAACTTGGATTCCAACATGTACTGTGTCATTCTTAAGCAGAACATGATGCCCTCCATTCAGAAACGGGGTCAAACGGCATGGTAACGACCTCAAACACACCACCAAGATGACAACTGCCTTGCTGAGGAAGCTGAAGGTGAAGTTGAAGTATATCTCCAGACCTGAAACCCTGTGTGGGGCATCCAGATATACAAACAATGGTACTCACACAAAATATTGACACTTTGGACACGGGTGTACACACTTTTGTTGCCAGCTATTTTGACAATAATGGCTGTATGTTTATTTTCAGAGGACAGCGAATCTATTCTAAAATCTATTCTAGTAACCTATCCAAGTTTCATTTCTACATTATTGTTCCTCGAGAACATAATTGTTTGCTGAAATGTGAGGGGTGTACTCACTTTTGTGAGATAATGTTTATTTGGATGTTGTGGTGGTGGTCAGCAGGGTTGCCAACTCTCAAGCATCTGGCGTGACACTCACGCTTTCAGCATCAATCTCTGGCCATCACGCACACGCAAGAAATGTCACGCCAAAATCATTTTTTCTCCCCTCACAATCCATTAATTTTCTGTTGATGACTAGACCACAACCTATTAATGACAGGAGAGGAGTTTAAGGCCCACAGCTGTTCTCACGACAGTAAATCCTTGCATCTGATACGTCAGTTGTGTGAAATGAAATGCGGATGCTGAGCGAACCTTTTCAGTTATTGGCCTAAAAAAAAGACTGACACCACAGACTGTCACTTGATGGCACACTATAATGGGAAGTTCGGATCATTTTACTGACTCGCCTGTTCGATGTCGTTCATTAAAATGAATGAATCTTTATTCGAGTCATTACGTTCATTTAAACGGCTTTAAATGTTATACATACTTTTATCAGCCAAATTCCCGAACACATCCACCGACACAGTCTTTGTCATATTCTGAATTAAGAAATCATTGTAATGCAGTCAAAAATAATTTACAGGGAACATTACCTTCTGAGTCTTTCGTTCATTTGTCACGTGACACATTCATGAACGGATCGAACCCTGCTTCAGATACAAACCTCTTGCTGAGGCAGTGAAGCCGGCCAAACTGCCACTGTGGCATATACAGGCATAATTTGTGAAACTTGTGTGTTGTGGTTTTCTGGGGAGGTAGAGAAACGTGTCCCTTTTGTTTTGTTATTTCTTATTGTTTAGATGTTGTTGTTTTACATGTTTTTTATTTCATCACCTCTGTTCACTGCCATCTTTTATAGTGCAATGAATAAATTAATTGTACATTTTTGTTGTTGTTGTGTAAATCAGGGTTTATACTAAGTAAACAAGGACTGACATTTTTAAAATTTTGGTTACAAAAAAAAAAAAAAAAAAATGACTGTCTCATTCCAGCCACTGTCTCACTCCAGCCAAAGTCCCAAAGTTGGCAACCCTTGGTCAGATCCAATTTTTGTGGGGTTCCAGGTCGTAAACTGTAAATGCTGAATGCAGTCCAGACCAGCTGCGTTACCGTATTAAAGTGAGGTGCAATAAACTGTGCTCAACTCTGACTGAACTGGGCCATAATGTGAGAATGATTAATTACCTTTCTTGTTAACTGCTCTATGCACAAATTCGGGTGTGGGTATGCAGGCTAGTAACATTTAATACTTTTTTTTTTTTGAATATTGAACGTCTTATTTAAGTTTAGTTTTGCTGAATATTGAACATCTTATTTAAGTTTAGTTTTGCTGTTATGGGTGGCTATCCCTCTCAAAAAAATATTCCATAAAATATATGACCATAGACGAGAAGCCTCTCGCTGCATCCTGCGGTGGATATCCAACCCGACCCAAATCCAAGTGTGACGTCAGAAGCCACCACGCCCATGCCCAAATTGGACACATTCTCATTAACGTTAACAATTAAACACTAATTCCAGGCGCAGTACTCCCCAGGCATAAGTGAGATATAGGCTATGTAAGTATCTAAACTAAACGTGTCACATTTTACAACCGTTTTAGGATAGAAATGTTAAAAGACAGGAAAAAATTATCAAGGGTGCAAACTTTTGTCTAATTTCGCCATTTATCGAATAGAACTATATAATTTACGTGATTCAGCCTAATGTAGCCTAATAATTAGTAGCCTAGGCTAATAATGTGGAAGAAACCTCAAAAAAGGAATGTGCTCTTTTATTAATTTAATACGCCTTATTCACGGCAGCGCCATCTTTGATTTTTAATGAGAATGAAAGCGAGGCTGTGAGGGATAGACATGCATCTCTTCAATGGGCTGTACTGTTATTTAATGTGTTTTTGGATTGTTCTGCTCATGAAACACTGGAAAAATATCTTTCCAAGAAATTTCAGTTGACAAAAAACTCCTGACAATGTAAGTTGAGGAAAATTTTAAGTAATCTAGGAGCTTTATTCAGCTTTTTACAGCGGATGCCAGTGGAAACACTGTAAGTCTATCCCTCACAGCCTCACTTTCATACCTGTCATGGCGCTGCTCTGAATAAGGTCTATAAACATAGACTACCTAGCTTTCCTGGTCTTCAGTAAATTAACTTGTCTAAGAAAAGTAACGTTAAAACATAAATATCAGTTGACCCTCTGTTCACTTTATTCACAAACAGACTATCAGTCAGCTTTTTGAGATGAAGAGACAGTGCAAGATATAGACTGATGGAGATGAGGAGATAGCAGGTATTGACAAATAATGTACTGCCAGTGCCAACTGACATGGTTTTAAAGCTATTATCATCCAATTATTTTGGCCTTCAAACTTCTTAAAATGCACATGTAGATCTCTGGGGAGCTGCTCCCAAGTTACCCCCTCACATTTCTGACTTATGTGATTATAAAACCCTGCATGCGACCCACAACGGCTTCAGTCTCCAATCCCACGCGCCATTTGTATAGACTTATCGCGTGCCATCTACCTGAATCGCACCTGCGGGCGTCACTCCCAGTGACACGGGCGCGCGCATCTTCTGTCCTGCTCGCGCGCTCGTGAGGGAGCGGGATTCTTCTCAGTCCACTGAAAGCTCAGTTTCACCGGTGTGCTTCAAACTGTGTCTACCTTTGTCTCTGACAACGCCGCGTCAGTTTGATGGGGAATTCGATATCAGGGCGGGAAAATGCCTGTTATGAAGGGATTGCTCGCGCCGCAGAACACATTTTTGGATACTATAGCGACGCGTTTTGACGGCACACGTGAGTTATTGCGATGGCATTTTACCTTGTTTGTGGTCAAAAACTATTTTGGGGTGCTAATGAAACGATTTTTGTTTCTTGAGCAGGACATAAAGTATTTTGTTTGATCGTTAAAGTAGACAAATGTTAGTCAGAACAAATTCACTGTGAAAAGGTATGGCTTCTGTGTTTACTCAATTAAATTACGAGCCCATAGTAAAAGCATGATTAATTATAACTTACAAATAGGTTTAGAAATGAGCATGCAGGATTAGCTTCTTTAAGTCGAGTCAAACAAAATGAGTATGCAAATTCATAATGTGAAAAAACTTTTGATTTGTAACTCAACTTTAAAAGAGCTACACTACAGTATGCTAGTAGTAGTTCTTTCTGATAACATGGTTTTTCGTATGCTATGAGAAAGGTAGCCTTATGTACTGTCAACATCACACGAATACTAAAGAAACACTCATATATATATATATATATATATATATATATATATATATTAGTGCTGTCAGTATTTAAAATATTAACCAATTAATTACACATTTTTCTGTAATCACTATTATTCGAACCTAACATTAAAGTTTTTAATGTATTTTCTATTGTAATATTTTCACAGTGAATCGCCAAAATAATGTAAAAATAACATAAAGACTGTATGTTAGATATGTTTAATGGTATCTTTTACTTAAACACTATGAATGTAGATCAGCCAGTATCACTGATACCAGGACTGATATAATATTTTTAACTTTAGTAATTTTATGCATTAATTATAGCCATTCAGCATTACAATAAAAAGCTATCCATTTTTAAATGTAATTGGCTTTATAAAATTTAATTTTAATTTAATGATTTACCTGCTCTGCTAAAATGCACAAAAAAAGTTATTGTTACCATTGTTTTTGACTCATGTATCTTTATAAACAGTGCTTTAAGATTTTCAGGTCGAACAGGCTAGGCTATACAGTATATTACAGAAATTGAATGATCCTTCACTGAATAATTAAATCAAATATAGATTAATCCTTATTAAAGTTACCAAAGTTTTTCAGTCAAGAGCAGTGAGTTTTTGTTGTTGTTGTCTTTTGTTCTTTAATTAACATGAATGACAGACAGCAGCAGGTTTATTAGGCTGCTGTCACTTAGACCTGACGCACATGACTTGGATCTGACTGATATTTTCGCACAACGCTTTGTTCATTTAACACTTTTAAACTTATTTTTAAGAGTGTGCTTACAGGGATACTCGACAAAACGTGAATTTCTGAAAAAAAAAAAATTGTGTTTTATCTGTTCAAGCGCAAATGGAGCGTTGTCTGAAGCATTATGTGTGCGTGTTTTGGGTGTTTCTTCACAGAGATCAGCTTCACAGACAATGTGCCAGTAAAGGCTTGAGTTCTTTTTTTGTGTTGTATCACGCTTAAATTGTTTAAAAGCACTTGCATGAATGATAGTGTGATCATATAGCCTACTGTAGAGCAGCCAAAGGATGACGGAAAAAAACGGATGCTGCATTAATTGCGTTAAATACTTGAATTAAATAAATGTACGTATTTATTTTGTTCAAGTATTTAATGCAATTAATGCAGCATCCTTTTTTTGCTGTCAACCTTTGGCTGCTCTACATTACATGTATATGGTAGGGATGGGCAATGATTAATCGAGATTAATCGCATCCAAAATAAAAGTTTGTGTTTACATAATAGGTGTGTAGTGTGTATAATTAATTTCTATATATAAATACCCACACATGCATGTATATATTTAAGAAAAATGTGTTATTAATATATGAAATATTTATATTTATATATCATATTAATTGTGAATAAATATATATAAAATATATACATGCACATATTTCTTAAATATATAGATGCATGTGTGGGTATTTATATATACAAATTAATTATACAAACTACACAAACATATATTATGTAAACACAAACTTTTATTTTGGATGCGATTAATCGCGATTAATCATTGCCCATCCCTACTTGTGAGGGAACGCAGCGCTGTTTCACTTGGTCTAACATTACACTACCACACTAAACTGCATTTGAGTGTGTTGAAAGTTAAGTTATTCTATGTGATAGTTTGTTGGCTCTATGAGACTAGCAATAAGCTGGATAAACATTAGAATAACATACTGATCATATTCTTATATTTTATCATGTTGTTGAGCTATTTAACATTGATTTGTTTTGTGTAAATTTGCTCACCTGTCTAATATAAAGTGCATGCAAGAGCGGCGTCTCTGTCAAGTCGAAGTTAGTCGCGGACGTGGAGCTTTAGGCATTTCGAAAACACCACACCGATACTGATCCTTGTTTATTTCTCCTTTTGTCCCAAAGTCTGCTTGCCATGGTAACGCAGTTGTTCACATCTGTCACCATGGTTACTATGGCAGTTCATGCGGAAACCAGGGATAGGGCAGATATTACGTCATTGACAGGCGACAATGTCCAGGGACGAGCCATTATTTAAAATTCGCATTTCTCTGAAATTAAAAATCTTTGGGAACCTTTAGGATATTGTAAGTTCACAAGTTCAAACTCACACAGTGCAAGTGATTTTTGGGTATTGTATTACAAAAATCCTACATATTGTACCTTTAATGCAATTAATGCAGCATTTTTTTTTCATGTCAACCTTTGGCTGTGCTCCATTCTCAATTGTTTTTTGTTGGAAGTTTTTGCATTGAAAGCACAGTACTGCTCTCAAACTGAGCATCTGCTCACTCAGCACCATGGACAGCGGATGAGGGTAACCCTGGCTAGTTCAGTCAAGCACTCGGCCTGCTTTGATGCTTAGATCAGTGGTTCTCAGTCCAATCAGCTGCCCTGGACTGCACATTTTGACACTCATGTCTGGTCTTTGAGATAGCCTACTAATGAACTGATTAGTTGAATCAGGTTTGTTAGATTAGGGAGACCTCTAAAATGTGCACACCCACTGACTTAGATTGCAATGCATCACTTGGCTATGCTAATGTTTATTTTATTTTTATATAGAGCTCAAGTAGGGTTGGTAGAGATAACAATCGAAGGGATGTTTAATTAAAGTTTAGACCAGATCATCCATGAAAAAAGACGCGCCTAACGTCCTGATGAAATCCCTTGTGTGGCCCCAGGTAAGGGCCAAGATTGATCAAATATAATTGGTCGACCACAGAGCACTCGGGTGGTGTTTCATCTCAAGTTGTATTGTGCTTTGTAAAAATGAGTCTGCTTGCTTGAGATCTGGCTTTCTTTTGTGCGATAACAGTTTACAGCTTTCACAGAACAAATCCTGTCAGCTTTTATCATTTTGTTTTGGTGTCCTAACAGAAAAATACTTGTACCATCCTGCCTTATCACTACGTCCAGGTAACTTGTTTTCCCCCATCAAGGTTTGAGAAATGAGGACCGAGAATTTTTTATTTTTGGACTAGGAGAGAGAGAGCTCCCACCACAGGAATCCTTCTCAAGGGACACGGTGTCCTCTGGGCTGCTGGGTCCATATATTACCAAACTGTGATGGCGTACACCCATGTTACTGTTTGTCCTTCAGGGGAGACTACCTGTATGGCTGTCACACCTTGGGCTGCCGCAGGTAACGTGGCTGAGAATAGCACAAAAATGGCTGGAAATAGTGCCTGCCATATTGGAAGGAAAGTGACAACAATGACACAGGGGGGATAATAGTGAGCATCCCATTAGGCATCATCCACAGTGGCTTTCAAAAAAGGATACATGTGGAGAGCATTACCTGGAGGTTGTGTGTGTGTGTATGTGTGTGTGTATATATATATATATATATATATATATATATATAAAGAGAAATCTGTCAAAAAATTATTGTCATTTATTAGGCAAATAACGAACTGAAACAACTAAATATAGTCTGTTCTCACACAAAATAACCAAAAAAAAAAACATTTTAATTTAAAGTCCCCGTGAAATCAAAATTGAACCTATTTACTTTGTTAGCGCATATTACTAGTCTTGTGGTGAACAATTAATCCGTGCAAGTAAATATATATTAAAAAAATGTTTTACCTTGGTAATCTTTTAATCAAAATCTGAAAAGTTACTTCCGGTCTGGAACGGTTGATGACGTAGGTTTCACAGTTTGGGTGGGGAAACGCTTAACCACTCCCCTCAAACCGTTAGTTTGCTATGAGCGAGAGATGGAGAGGAGGAGCGCTAGAGTAAAACCCTGCCCTCTGTTCAATATTCCGTTTCACTTGGAAATACGTCACAGCACAGGAGAAAAATCGTTTACAACTTCCGGTTCACGGGGACTTTAAAAATGTTAAGAAAATATATGTTGGCATTGTTTTTATGTACAGTACTTTACCGCAGTCTCTGTTGTCTGACTTCTAAATAGTTTATAGTTCCAAAGACTTGCTTTTGTTGGAAGTTTTCTGCAATCTATCTTTGAATCCATTAAAGCCCAAATATGTTCAATAGGATTCAAGTACAGACTATGACTTGGCCAACTGTGACTAAAGAGCTTATCCATACTGGTGGATTAACCATTACAGAAAAATAAAAAATGAAAAATTTTAGTAATTAACAATTCTGTCAGTTTAGGGCAGCTGTGGCACAGACCTTTACGGTGGTGGTTTAATATATATAAAATATATCTGTGCACACATAAACATACTGTATATGCATATATATGTGTATGTCTGTATATAGATACACGCGCGCACGCACACACACACACACACACACACACACACACACACACACACACAGATATATATATATATATATATATATATATATATATATATATATATATATATATATATATATATATATATATATATACAGTTGTGACCAGAATTAATACCCCTGGTAAATATGATAAAAAATGGCAGTGAAAAATAAATCCACATTGTTTATCCTTTTGATATTTCATTCAAAAAATTGGCAAAATCCTAACCTTTCGTTTGAGTAAAAGAATTGAACGTAGGGGGGAAATCACATTATAAAATAAATGTTTTTCTCCAAAACATGTTGGCC